TTCTGGATTCAATGTCTCATCCTGTTAATTGCCCATGGCCTCGTAAGAGGCGACTAAGGGGATTAGTTTGTCAAGCTTGCTGACATTGGTTGAAGGGTATGATAGTTCCCAGTTGCGTTGAATGTTGTTCGTAATGTCAATCACAGGATTGTCTGGTCCAGTTTCGTTAATTAACATGTAGATGGAATATTGCGGAGAGATGCGCCAAACAATAACACAGCCCTGATGAACAAATTGCTATGACCCAGATCACATTTATTTTGCCTGTATTCGCCTCACTGACGTTTTGTTTGCCTGTCTGTCTGTCTGTCTGTCTGTTTGTTTGTTATTTAACGCCGCACTCAGCAATATTCCAGCTATATGGCGGCAGTCTGTAAATAATCGTGTCAATCCAGTGATCAACATAATGAGCATCGATCTACTCAGTTTGGAAGCCGATGACATGTGTCAACCAAGTCAGCGACCATGACCACCCGATCCCGATACTCGCCTCTTACGACAAGCATGGGTTGCTGAAGACCAATTCTTACTCGGATCTTCACGGGTCTTTCTAACGGATATAAATATCACTCCGCTTTAGCCAGAGGTTCACAAATAAACCTTTTCATTCTCAAAGTTCCAGATGTTTATATTTGGGAATTATTCATGCCCCATGAAGACTAGCTCACATTAAAACAGGATAACAACACATCACTCCTTTACTGTAGAGTGAATGAGTGACTTTGGTTAATGCTGCTTTGAACGGCGTGTCAGATGCAAGCTTAAACATTTACCGGTTTAGTAAAACCGACGTGCTGGCACCTGTAGAGCATAATCGGGTTTCGAACCCACAGCCAAAGGTTGCTGGCGTGGCTTAGGGTTGGTTGGTTGGTTTTTGTTGAACGCCGCACTCGGCAGTATTCCAGCTATATGGCGGCGGTCTGTAAATAATCGAGTCTGGGCCAAACAATCCAGTGATCAACAGCACAAGCATCGATCTACACAAATGGGTTACGATGACATGTGTCAACCAAGTCAGCAAGCCTGACCACCCGATCCCGTTAGGCGCCTCTTACGACAAGTATGGGTTACTGAAGAAAATTTCTAACCCGCATCTTCATGAGGTACGACAAGTATGGGTTACTGAAGACCAATTCTAACCCGGATCTTCACGGATTACATATGCATGGGTTACTGAAGACCAATTCTAACCCGGATCTTCACGGATTACACAAGCCTGGGTTACTGAAGACCAGTTCTAACCCAGATCGTCATGAGGTACGACAAGTATGGGTTACTGAAGACCAGTTCTAACCCGGATCGTCATGAGGTACGACAAGTATTGGTTACTGAAGACCAGTTCTAATCCGGATCGTCATGAGGTACGACAAGTATGGGTTACTGAAAACCAGTTCTAACCCGGATCGTCATGAGGTACGACAAGTATTGGTTACTGAAGACCAGTTCTAACCGGATCTTCATGAGGTACGACAAGCCTGGGTTACTGAAGACCAATTCTAACCCGGATCTTCATAAGGTACGACAAGGCTGGGTTACTGAAGACCAATTCTAACCCGGATCTTCACGGATTACATGTGCATTGGTTACTGAAGACCAGTTCTAACCCGGATCGTCATGAGGTACGACAAGTATGGGTTACTGAAGACCAGTTCTAACCCAGATCGTCATGAGGTACGACAAGCCTGGGTTACTGAAGACCAATTCTAACCCGGATCTACACGGGTTACACATGCATGGGTTACTGAAAACCAGTTCTAACCCGGATCGTCATGAGGTACGACAAGTATGGGTTACTGAAGACCAGTTCTAACCCGCATCTTCATGAGGTATGACAAGGCTGGGTTACTGAAGACCAGTTCTAACCCAGATCGTCATGAGGTACGACAAGTATGGGTTACTGAAGACCAGTTCTAACCCAGATCGTCATGAGGTACGACAAGTATTGGTTACTGAAGACCAGTTCTAACCCGGATCGTCATGAGGTACGACAAGTATGGGTTACTGAAGACCAGTTCTAACCCAGATCGTCATGAGGTACGACAAGTATGTGTTACTGAAGACCAGTTCTAACCCAGATCGTCATGAGGTACGACAAGTATGGGTTACTGAAGACCATTTCTAACCCAGATCGTCATGAGGTACGACAAGTATGGGTTACTGAAGACCAGTCCTTAACCGGATCGTCATGAGGTACGACAAGTATGGGTTACTGAAGACCAGTTCTAACCGGATCTTCATGAGGTACGACGAGCCTGGGTTACTGAAGACCAGTTCTCACCCGGATATTCACGGATTACACATGCATGGTTTACCGAAGACCAATTCTATCCCAGATCTTCATGAGGTACGACAAGCCTGGGTTACTGAAGACCAGTTCTAACCGGATCTTCATGAGGTACGACAAGCCTGGGTTACTGAAGACCAATTCTAACCCGGATCTTCATAAGGTACGACAAGGCTGGGTTACTGAAGACCAATTCTAACCCGGATCTTCACGGATTACATGTGCATTGGTTACTGAAGACCAGTTCTAACCCGGATCGTCATGAGGTACGACAAGTATGGGTTACTGAAGACCAGTTCTAACCCAGATCGTCATGAGGTACGACAAGCCTGGGTTACTGAAGACCAATTCTAACCCGGATCTACACGGGTTACACATGCATGGGTTACTGAAAACCAGTTCTAACCCGGATCGTCATGAGGTACGACAAGTATGGGTTACTGAAGACCAGTTCTAACCCGCATCTTCATGAGGTATGACAAGGCTGGGTTACTGAAGACCAGTTCTAACCCAGATCGTCATGAGGTACGACAAGTATGGGTTACTGAAGACCAGTTCTAACCCAGATCGTCATGAGGTACGACAAGTATTGGTTACTGAAGACCAGTTCTAACCCGGATCGTCATGAGGTACGACAAGTATGGGTTACTGAAGACCAGTTCTAACCCAGATCGTCATGAGGTACGACAAGTATGTGTTACTGAAGACCAGTTCTAACCCAGATCGTCATGAGGTACGACAAGTATGGGTTACTGAAGACCAGTTCTAACCCAGATCGTCATGAGGTACGACAAGTATGGGTTACTGAAGACCAGTCCTTAACCGGATCGTCATGAGGTACGACAAGTATGGGTTACTGAAGACCAGTTCTAACCGGATCTTCATGAGGTACGACGAGCCTGGGTTACTGAAGACCAGTTCTCACCCGGATATTCACGGATTACACATGCATGGTTTACCGAAGACCAATTCTATCCCAGATCTTCATGAGGTACGACAAGCCTGGGTTACTGAAGACCAATTCTAACCCGATCTTCATGAGGTACGACAAGGCTAGGTTACTGGAGACCAGTTCTAATCCGGATCTTCATGAGGTACGACAAACCTGGGTTACTGAAAATCAATTCTAACTCGGATCTTCACGGGCCTGTGGCTGAGAAGGGCCACAAGAGACAAGGAAACAAGAAAAGGCATTTGTCATTGAGGAAAGTTGGCGAGGCTTGTATTACTGGCTTATTATCGGCGTCAGCTACTGGGGGCTTCAAGTCAATCCGTACGAAACTCCATGGCTAGATCCTGGACTTGCTGCAGATCACAAAACACTGAGTGAGTGAGTGAGTGAGTGAGTGAGAAAGTGAGTGAGTGAGTGAGTGAGTGAGTGAGTGAGTGAGTGAGTGAGTGAGTGAGTGAGGGAGTGAGTGAGTGAGTGAGTGAGTGAGGAGGAGGAGTGAGTGAGTGAGTGGAGGAGTGAGGAGTGGTGGAGGAGGGAGGAGGGAGGAGGAGCGAGCGAGCGAGCGAGCGAGTGAGTCGCATCTGCGATATTTCACCAAGTGTTTGCATGTTCAAAAATACATTACCCGTGAAGATCCGGGTTAGAATATTGATCTTCAGTAACCCATGCTTGTCGTAAGAGGCGACTAACGGGATCGGGTGGTCAGGTTCGCTGACTTGGTTGGCACATGTCATCGGTTCCCAACTGCGCAGATCGATGCTCATGAAGTTAAACAGTGGATTGTCTGGTCCAGGCTTGATTGTTTACAGACCGCCGCCATATAGCTGGAATATTGCTGGAATAGTGCGGCGGAAAACTGAACTCACTCACTCACACACTTAATCTCTATACCTATCTCATTCATAAATATAAACAACAAATCATTTCCACATCCATAATGAAGATCTGGGAAAAGCTGATCCGATCATGAACATCGATTAGTGATGATGTCAGATGTTCGATCATCCCTCACAAACAACTACAATGCCTGTACATTTGTAAACACACGGTACAAGTCAAATTAAGACATCACTTTTGTCACTGGTTTGAATCTTCTCCACATGTCTAAAATAAAACAGTTTGAAACTCAACTCAGGACATGAGTGATGTCAAAAGGTAAACATTTAGACGGCATTTCCCAGTCTGATGCATCTGTGACAAAAACAATGTCCAGAGCAATTCCCTAGTCGGACTTTGAACCATATATTACGTGGTTTTCTGTTCGGCTGAGTTACGATATGGCTGAAATATTGCCGATGTGACGTTAAATCTTAACTTACTCACTCACTGTTCAGCTGAATCCAGTGGCCAACATCACGAGCATCGATCTACGCAATTGGGATACGATGACGTATGTCAAGCAAGTCAGCAAGCCTGACCACCCGATCCCGTTAGTCGCCTCTTACGACAAGCATGGGTTGCTGAAGACCAATTCAAACCCGGATATTCATGGTTCTTTTCAGCTGAAGACGTGGCTTGCCTTTTGTGTGTGGTGCATGTTGCTAGTGTGCAGGGTACGCTCTATGTTTCACCTGCCATTATGACTAGTTGATAATGATTCATAAACACATGCTCTTGATATCTTAGAAATTGGAAGTGAATTCTTTCCACACAGATTTATTTTAAATATGGAGAATAAAAAGTTAAAGATAAATGGAATTAATTACCAACCTTGATTGGTACTCGTTCAAGTGAAAACTAAAAGTAAGAAGCCACTACATAGAGTTCATGTAACAGTTTTATTCTCCCATGCTGAAGTTAAGATGTTGCATCTGAACATTCCACTTTTATGAAGAATTCGGCATTGCAGCCTCCGCAGTAGTTGGATCTGGAATATGAGACTGAGTTGAGATCTAAGTGGACAGGGCACAAAACAGAGTATTCCTGAATTAGTGTTGCTATAAGCCAGTTAACTGACGACCTGCTCTACAGCTATGCAACATTCTAAATGAAATAATCAAGTATTGATCCAGACTTACAGAAGAGCATGTGATAGCACGTACACCTATTCCTGAAAGAGTGTATCTTTAAGCCAGTTAACTGACGACCTGCTCTACAGCTATGAAACATTCTAAATGAAATAATCAAGTATTGATCCAGACTTACAGAAGAGCATGTGATAGCACGGACACCTATTCCTGAAAGAGTGTTGCTTTAAGCCAGTTAACTGACGACCAGTTAACAACTGATATAAGTGTTGCTCCAAACTTACAGTGGGCCAGCACGTGATGGCATGGACACATATTCGAGTATTTAGGGAGAGATTACACCAAATCATCAAGAGAACGTTTTTGTAATAATTTGATCTTCATTTTACTCATCACATACAAAGAGTGAGTGAGTATGGTTTAACGCCTGAGTATGGTTCCAGCAATATCAGGATGGGGAACACCAGAAATGGGCTTCAACCATGAGGCAAATCAAACCTTGGTGTTGGTCGTGTCGAACAAACGCTTCAACCACAAGACTACCCCCACAGCCCTTCCCATACAAATATGTTGTTCAGTTGAGTAGGGTGTTCTACAAATCGCCCCATAATCCAGATATACAGCAGTATGTTGTGAATCTGTCAAAGGTAGTTTGATATGTAAAGACATTACGGGGCGTACCTGCAGACAGCTTCTGGGTGTGAAGGACAAGTGGCCTTCGAGCAGGGGTCAACGAGACAATCGACCAGTTGGACTCCAGGTGGACATGGGCCTTGATCTCCTTGCTGAACAAGAGAACCTTCCGTTTCCCCTGCTGGAAGATAATGGAGTGCGTGAGTTTACGGCGCTTTTAGCAATATTCCGGCAATATTACGGCGGAGGACACCAGAAATGGGCTTCACACATTGTACCCATGTGCGGAATCGAACCTGGGTCTTCAACGTGACGAGCAAACGCTTTCCACATTTAAAAGTGTCTTAAATTGGGAGTAATATATTAATAGTAATATTAGTAATACATTTATTAGAATTTTGAATTGAATTGAACCAACGTTGTTTAAATTATCCGAAAGTCTCTGCTTAACTAAAGATATGAAATAATAAACATTGCCAACATCTTGACTGATCTCATGCATAGCCAAAATCATACTTATATAAATTTTCTGACACAAGTTGTCCAAGTAGTGCGGCCAACATCATCTAACGTAAGGACTTGAGCATAATATAACGATGTTTGGCAGTCTATTATAAGGCATATGCAATAGGTGACACCAGTATTTAATTACTCTAGTCATGGAAGTAATTTGTAAAGGAACTCGACCACAATCACCACGAGCCATGTTATTACAGGTACATTGACATACAAATACAACACTTTTTATAGCTTCATGTCACCATGCACATAATATGTTTGCAACAATTGTGTGCAGGACTTACACACAGCTCACGCCTTGATACCAATAATATATATATATATATATATATATTCAACAATAGATTTCGAATATCTTAACAATTAATATGAGTGTAAATGCATCCCAGTACCTTAGTCAACAGCCCTTAACGATAAATTTCAGATATCTTAAACATTCATATCGTGCAATATTGAACAATCTTTATGGATAGCAACTTCTTGCATAAATTGCTGTTGGCAACGGTACAAGTATCTGTAATGAAACTCACGATATAGAAGAAGTTGTTATCCAGAAAGTTTGTTCAATATTGTACTTCCCAACTACCAAAATGCCACTCAAAGAAGTTATTTATATCAGTGTACGTACGTATGTTGTATCCCAGAACCTTAGTCAGTAACCCTTCACAGTAAACATTGCAATTTCTCATATCTACATTTACTCACCATGCAGTAAGAGAAAGCACAGAATAACAAGCGCCTTCATCGTGTCTCCGTCTTGGAACCAATTTGTACTGAAGATATGTGAATCAAATGTGCAGTTTCTCCTGCGCACGTGGGTTAAATAGTCCTGGTGCAGCTGTGTTCTGGGCGGGTCCGTGTCACAGTGACAAAGATGGGAAATATACACTAGATATTGATTCAAAGGTATGTTGATTGTGTCCCTTAATCTTCAACGTCCTGTGGACACAGGAGGTCTATTGTAATTTGCTGTGAATATTTGCATACGCTGACTGTGATAGGCTCCACTAGTTGCTGGCATATGCACCGACATGTGTACTTTTACTCTACATAGTACATGTGTAAGTGTACTCTAGAACTTACCTAAGCACCATCAACAGTTAATAGTCTTCCACAAACCCACAGCTACGCCTATTAAAGAATATATTATTCCTGGATAACCTGTTTATGCCTCGCTGAAATAGTGATTGGTGATTGCCATGTCAACTGGACCTACATAAAGGTCTTGACTATAAGGTGAGGTGAAGTGGCTTTAACGTCATACTTAAGAATATTTCGCTTATATGACCAGGTGCATGTGTGTGTATGTGTGGCTGCTTGTACTAGCCCAGACTTAAGCTGGTTTTATACTGCTAGCTCACTGAGATACCATGCCGCAGTTAAGCACTCAGACACATTATACTGACTCCGAACCGACCAGTCCTTGTTGTGCCCATTAATGCCGAGCGCCATGCAGGGACCAACCAGTGCCATATTTTAACATCATTTGGTATGATGAGGGCGGGGATCAATTCCACGACCTTCCGCTCTCTGAGCTGACGCTCTAGCCGCTACACCACGGAGGCGGTCCTTGAAACTAAGGAGCTGGGCATTATCATATTGTAACGGTTCAATGGGGGTAAAATGAGAAAATAGATTTTATTTAAGTAGCATGTCGGTTCTGTGGACCACTCTCACTTTTACCCTGTTACTTACAGTTTTTACCAATTAAATAATAACTTGACAACATGAAGTTGAAACAATGAACAAGAATTTATTACATATAAATTTATCAAAGTCAGTAATGTCAAATATTATACAAACCAGAACAAACTTCTGGTTAAGTAAGTTCTGTCTCAAGCAAAGCTTGGATATAGTATACTTACATAATATTGTGGTGTTCTCGGTAGATACCTGTGAAAATATACGGAAAAACAGCGACTCGCATCCACCACAATCAGTCCAGAACTGTCAACTGTCAACTGACAACTGACCAGAACTACGTCACAATCCTCATGACGTAATTTGTTTACAATCAACAAGCAAAACATATTAATTTATTATTGGTGCAGAATAATAAAGGTAGAGCGTCACTGGACTCATTATAATTGTAGAAATGTCTTTTGACGCTTAAAATACAGAATTTGCAAAAGTAATTTTGTCAACGAACTGTGTACACATAAACTCATGACGTCATCATCAAATATGGCCGCCTCCATGGATAACATTGCCAAAGCAATAGCTCTGACGAAACGACAGTTAAATATAAGTTCTATCAGGTAAAAAGGATATGGATTACAATGTACACAACATCGAGTAGTTTTTTAATGTTATTCAAACGGTATTACGTCTCACAATCCAACGACTGAGGATAAATGCAATGAAACTCACTGCCTATATACCGACGGGGAAAACTCGTCGAATGTAAACACAGCGGAATTAACCCGAGGCCAAATGCGAGAAAAGATAATTAGGGCTGTATATTACAATATATTATGTCCTGTTCATGTGTCAACTTCTTTTTTCAGCGTATGAATCTGTCCAATGGATGTAAGCATATACAGGAAATGAAGGTAGGCTCACAGAAACAAGATACAGAACATTGTACTAATGCAAATCAAGAAGACATACCTCCTCAAACCGTGATAATGGAGATGCGTGAGATGCTACATTTACCTACCTATCAAAACAGGTGGAACAACTGAAGCAGCAGCTCCTGGTCGCACCTACAAAGTGAGTGAGTGAGTATGGCTTAACACCGCTTTTAGCAGTATTCCAGCAATATCACGGAGGACATCACAAATGAGCTTCACACGTTGTACCTATGTGGGCAAATGAACCCGGGCCTTCGCCATGACAAGCGAACGTTTTAACCACCCCTCACCTTCAAAAACCTCCAAGGGACATCATCCTGATGGTGGGTCAGTTCAGTTAGACCCTTTCAAGAAAAGGTCCTATGGAACTTAAACACATTTCAATTTTTCATCAAATCAAACAATAAGGTGAATGAATGGCTCAGGCACTTATCTGTATTTTTCTGTAGAGTTAAGATTTTCTGCACAGCCTCTGAGAACTATAAGATTTATAATCGAATTCAAACTTTGCACACTTTTTCGATTACTTTGACTTATGTGTGATGCACATCTAGCATATAAATAATTAATTCAACATATCCATTGCGTACATATGATTGCATAACACTATTTTTTCACTATTATATGCGCCTGTCGAGCGTATTTTGGATGCACACAACTTATGCCGACCACATGCCTGACACACTTCTGACGAATGCCAGGCGTTTTCCAAGTGTATTCCCGATCTATTGAAAAGGCAGCTGTTTCCCGCTGTTTTTGTTACCAGTGCAGATTCCATGGCGTGAACAAACATTTGTCATCATGTCATCATTTATACCAAATCTCGAGTGTACCCTGGATGTTTGCAAGTACTCTATTTGTACACTATCTGTGCGTTTGTCATAAGCTACCAATGAATACAATATGCTGCCCAATTGCAGGACAAACGGTACTGATTCGAGGCAAAACGTCGTCATTCACTATGTCTTTATTCATATGTTTTCCAACCGACCAACGTTCAGAATTTGGTGGCTACGTGAATTCAAAACATTATTCCCTATCTGTTAGTATGATATATATTATTTGTTGGGTTGAGTCCTATCCAGGATTCAAACCCACACCCTCAGAGTCAGGATGGGACTCCAACAAAAGTACTAGTATCTATACTGTACATATACACAAAGAACTTAATAAAGCACCCCCTATATTTTAGCAATTACAGGTTTTCAACACGAACATAAAACTTCTCGTGGTGACCACCATGGAAAAAACATGAGTTTTTCTGACCTGTAAGATCCTTTGACTCATACAAAAATGATTGGAATCCATGTTGATTTTATGATGATAATTCAACATTAAAAAACCACTGATTTTCATACAAAAAACTTGTCTGTACAAGAATGTTTAAAGAACGAATAAACTTTTGTTTTTTGTACTCTTTTATCAATTACATATGAAAGAAGTGTGGTTAGTCTTAAGCGGAACACCAAATTCATTCTTAAAAAACTTGTGGTTAATTAATACCGAGCGATTAAAAGTTGCCAAAAAGTTGTATGCTTCACTCTCGCCCGCCAACGAAACCACAGAGAGGTTACGTAACTCTATCGCCAGAGCACCGGAAGTGACGTCATTTGAGGAAGGATTTTCAGTTAGTTGTATATAAAGTGTGTGACAAGTCCGACGTCAAAGAAGACATGCCCAATCGTTGCGCTGCCGCCCATTGCTCCCAGGGGTTGGGTGATGGTGTCCCCATGCACAGATTTCCACCGGACCCCGCAGTTCGTGCTAAATGGGTTATGTTTGTGAGTGCGAAGCGGGCGTTGTGGAAGCCTGGAAGAATGTTTTACTTGTGTTCAGAACACTTACTTGTGTTCAGATCACTTGTGTTCAGATCACAATTACAAAAATCAAAACTACGTACTGGTTGTAGTAAAATATGTATATGATTAATGACCAAAAAGGATTTTGCATGACACAACTTGTAACATAACGATTTCTTCCTCAGAAGCAAGGTTGTGGTCGAAGTGACAATAATACTGTAAGTAGTATTATATTGACACCCACCTCACTTCCAAGAGAGAAATTGTTATGTTATAAGGTGTCATGCAAAATCCTATTGGGCATCAATCAGATACATATTTTACTACCAGTAGAAAGTAGTTTTGATTTTGTAACTCGGTGAAAACAAACCTAAATAGCATTTATTCTCAGACTGGCGGATGTTCGCGACAGGGCGCCGCCTTTTTAGAAAAAGGCTTGAGCCGCAGTTCTGATGATTCAAGCGTTTTGGTGATAGTCCTGGAGACAAGACGGGCTGGGTAGCCATTGAGGACAGTAAAGCCTGAACCATCCCGATCAGGATCACAATACCCTACGTGGGACCAGTCAGCCATCAGATATCCCGACTAAACAAGAGCAATGCAAGCTTTGATGTAACTTTCTGTAGCGGTACAACAATTAAGACATTCCTCCGAGCAAATGGAAGAGGATCTAGCAATTGAAGCCCCAACCCTAGAGGATGTGTATACCAAATACCTTGCAGCTGTGGCGATCAATATATTGGCGAGACTCTCAGGTCCATCAACACCCGGGTTGCTGAACACAAGTCGTCAGTATGCAAACAAAATGATAAGTCAGCTATATCGGAGCACAAGGCAAATAACCCAAGTCATGTTATCATGTGGAATGATATCAGGGTGATTTCGAGCAATAACAACGACTGGCGTCGGAGAAAACTACAGGAGGCTGTGGAGATAAGAAGACATAAACCGGCAATGAATCGTGATCAAGGTGTCTACCTGCCAAGTGCGTGGGGCCTCTTCATTAAGTTTTGATGAACTTTAGATAAGTGAAAAAAAGCCTACTATTTACTTTTTGGAAAGCCTGCTATCAAGTAACTTTTGTGTAATTAGCAGTCGTTGTGTATTGACAATTCAACTTTCAACTCTATTATCTAGCATGAATTTTCATTATTATGTAATTAACACTTCAACCTCACTTATACTGAACTCTCCCTAGTGTACAGTGATGTCACTTGCATTGTGACGTCATAACTCAATTATGACGTCATAGTGACGAAGTCATAGTACTAACTGTCAGTTCACCTGATGAAGGGACCTGGAATGGTCTCGAAACGTCGTGAGGGAAGTTAGAAAGAATTTTAATCCATAAAATATCTTGGACATCAATGTACAACTTCTAAATGCCACTGAAAGACATCATACTTTCTACTCGTAGTTAAATATGTATTTGAATCATGACCAAAAGGATTTTGCATGACACAACTTGTAACATAACGATTTCTTCCATGGAAGCGAGGTGGGGGTCGAAGTGACAAAACTATCAATATCCACATAAAGGAACGATATGCCATTCATCTGCAGCTGTCAAATAATCCTGTTTCATGTCATGTGTCTTTTAACAGTCTAATATACGAAAAAGTGATCTATCGTTTCAGGTTTTTCACATTGGTGTATAGTCCCACTGGTCACCCAAGATAGCAACTGGCAACTAATTGCATGATGTCCGCCATTCTTTATAAAAGTAATTTAGTTAGCCAATAATGAGCAATCAATCAATGTATTGGCGGTTAATTCTTTGAAAGAAGGACGACGTTGATTTTACACAGACACTTTATGACAGGGTGTATTCAGTATAGATTAGCAAACCCACATATATAAACACTACCTTTTAACAAATCCGCTGTGCAGGATAAAAGCAATTAATCAATCAGCATGTTATCGGTTAATCCTTTGATCGATGTTTGTCCTTGTAACTTAGCTGATAATTCCCACCACCCGAAATGACCGTATTACCCAAATTGTGTAACGTTAGTAAATAAACGTTTCATCCGGCGGCCAGATGGACAACGTTTGAAATTTACGTATCATCTGGTCGTCAGATTTACACACGTTTAAAGGGGTCTTAAAATAAACGAACACTCAACTCTGCATTTACATGTATTTCACAGGTGTGTAAATCTGGCGATTGTTTTCATGTGTTTCCTAACACGTGGAACATATGTAAATGCTGTGATTGTAGGACATGCATTTCAATAGCCTTGAAATCTCGTATGACCAGATTTAGGTTTGTTATATATTTAGTATATGCGTAAATGGTTGGTAATGGGTAAATAGAGGGTATACAAGATTGACCCTACTTTAACATGTATTTCAATAGTTCTGTAATATAACTGTCACAAAGGGTTCGTGAGCGCGTCCGACCACGCCATAATGTACTGAGATAATTAGAAACACATGGTGAAGTGATACCCATGACTGAGCACCACTATTAACGTGAGTGTCATTCTTGACATACACATGGTGTCTGTTTGAAAGGTTCAAATATCGGGTCTATGGGCCGGAGCGATATGTATGTTAGGGGAGTGTGTGTGCATGTGTGTGAGAGGAAGAGGGTGTGGGATGGGGTAGGCCTAGGGTGGGGGTGATGGCGGTGGGTCGGTAAGTCATTCGGATCAGTAGGTAATATCGTTTATACTTGTTGTAATGGAAATTACATTACAGTTTAAATAACCGACCTTAGGTACACTTTTTTATATATGCCTAAGTTTAGGTCCCTAATTGTAGTGCTCACTTGAATGGGTTATCCAACAGATCATAACTTCACAAATTTCTTTATCTATACTTTCAAAAATTATGATTACAATGTATCAATGATTCCCGGTGTAAATTATTGTTGTAAATATGTAAACATGCACATACTTGGTATGACCTCTTTTTGATTCGGAATACAGATATTACGGAATATACTGTACACCTATTTTGATTCCATCTCTTTGGGTAGATTATAGAAAATTCTAGTGATTGCAATTAGTTCAAAAGTTTAGATAACTAAGCAGTTTCGATAATTATTGAAAGCTTAATACCTGACAGCATTTATGTTGCTCATGCGTTTTCATTTTTGCTTTTGCATTTTTACTGTCTTATTTGTTATACATTATACAATTATGCTAATCATTTTGGCATCCCAATATGATGGAATAGAATTTGTACTTATTAATCTATCAAAGTACCGAACCGTATTATCTGTATGATTTACTGTTATTGGGTGGAACTTTTAAATGCGCATTTGTACAGAATTTCCAGGATCTTGATATTGATAAAATGGTACAGATGACTCTTTTAACACATATGTATTATGAATATGGACATATAAATAAAAAGTTGAAGATAAATGTGAACAATTATTAGTACTCGTTCAAATGAAAACTAAAAAGTAAGAAATCTCAGAGTTGATGTAACAGTTTTTATTCGCTCATGCTGACGTGAGGCTCTTGCTTCTTAACATTCAACTTTTAGGAAGAATTCGGCAGTGCAGTTTCCGCAGTCGTTTGATCTGAAACATTAGAGTGAATCAAGATTTAAGTAAATAAGACATATACCAGGAGGAGGCAGCTGAAAACATTCAAATCGTAGCCTCCCCAGTACTGATTTTGTTTGACACTATTTTCAGTTAGTATGATGTCTTGGGCTCATGAAATGGCCTGTAATACTCTCAGATTGTGGTATCAGGGTTTTTTACAGGCCATTATATGTGGTGGGGGCCTGCGAGCATTTTCGTCACATTTGGTTTGCTGCCCGACCACACCTCAAAGTTAATCATTGAGCGTTTTACTACTATGAATCTGATCACTTTCATTTGACATCTGTGTACTCCTAAAGGATGTAGAAATTATTTGACATAATTTTGTTTTGAACAAAAAATCAAAATAGCCGCCATTTTGGCCGCCAGTTTGTTTTGTCGTGTTTTGCCTTCTCAGCACTTAAATCTACATAAAAATGAACACCGAATGTTTCCATTTACATCCAAAGTTGATACTTTTGATGTGTTTTGACACTTGTTTCTCCTAGAGTGATGGCTTGGGCACAAAACAAGTCATTTTGTATTCATATCGTGGTAATTTAATGTTTTACAGCTTATTCTTTGAGACAGGGGTATTTTATCGATTCTCCGACCTTTCATGGAAATGTGTGATGGTGATATATTTAATGGCAGTTAACATTATTTTTGTTACTAAAACAAGTTGTTTTTGTTTTGTCTTTACTTCTAGAGTGACGGCTCGTTATTAGGAATGTTTACATATTACCCAGAATTCAAAATGGCCGCCAAAATGGCCGTCATTGTAGTTTAACTACATATACTTAGTGGAGGACTAAATTTGTACTGATATGAAATCCAAACAACTCATTTGGTGTCTAATGTTTAATTCAGTATAGGCCCCTTTTGAGATTCTCCTCCTGGAGTAACAGGAAACATATGTTGAAAGATAAGTAATGAAATACCGTTGTTTTATGCCACAGTTAGCTGACATCCAGCTCTAGCTATGCACCATTCCTACTGGAATAATGGAATACCAATCCATACTTACAGAAGAAGAGCATGTGACAGCACGTACACCTAATGAAGCAGTCAGGGAGCTAGGACACAAAATGAACAGGGGAACAATTTTGTAATCATCCGATTTTTCTTGGAGTGAGTGAGGGGTATAGTATAACACCGCCTTTAGCAATCACCAATCAAGCACTTATCCACCACGCCAGGGGATGCCAGAAATGGGTTTCATCAATGCCTGGAATCGAACCCAGGTCTTCAGCGTGATAGGCTGATAAGCCAATGCTTTTACCACTGTCCTACCCCACTGCTCTATCATCCTCTATCTATATGTCCCACCCTGCCTAGTGAAATCGTACGTTGCCTGCTTGATCAGCTGCATGTGATCGACTGCTGCAGTATCCCAGACATATGATTCACCTGGAGTAACAACAAGCTATTCGTCATCACTTTCCGTAACCTCCAAGAAGACACGAGTCGCTATTCGGCTTGCCCCGGAATAACCAGTGTGCGAAATGGTTTCCACATTTTGCTGGCCAGTCGGGCTGGCTATGCCTGAACGTTAATAGCCAACATAATAATTCACTAGCCCGAAATTTGAATGTAGAAACTAAGCAAACGATTACAAGAAATAGATGAGAATAAGATATTGTTGGCATGACACGGGTTTCATGATTAAGCTGCTAATATGATGAACTTGTTTATCAGGCCATAATGTTGCAAGGTTTTAAAGTGTATTATAACTTTAGGAGTCAGAGGGAGTGATGACCCCCTGAAAATTCACTAGCCAGTCGGACCTGTCACTATGGAGATTTATTGGGCCGACTGGATTTTTACTAGCCACGGGCTAGCGGGCCAGTGGCTATTTCGCACACTGGGGAATAACACGAGTTGGTCACGAATGACAACATGCCTGTCGGGAAGAATATACAAGGTACCTTCATCTCTACTCTCAGCATGTGTTGTGTTGTGTCCCATGTTAACACAGACCACCGTATAACTGCTACTGGCGCCATGGCCCTTACTCCCGGTAAGGGGCGGTGGGGTGGCCTAGTGGGTAAAGTGTTCGCTCGTCAAGACGATTCCCCACATGGGTACAATGTGTGAAGCCCATTTCTGGTGTGCCCCGCTGTGATATTGCTGAAATATTGCTAAAAACGGCGTAAAACCCAACTCACTCACTCACAACTCGCGGTAACTTTGGGATTGCCCAATTAAGGAGTGTCACCGGTCGGAAGCGAGTCAGCTCTCTTACCGTGTATCAGCAGATATCGAGTGAGTTTAGTTTTACGCAACATTCCAGCTTTATGGCGGCGGTCTGTAAATATTCGAGTCTGGACCAGACAATCCGGTGATCAACAGCATGAGCATGGATCTGCGCAATACGATGACATGTGTCAACCAAGTCAGCGAGCCTGACGGGTCAGCACACACGGCAACACAGAGGGTACGTCAAGTCTGACGGTGTTAACTGACGTTATTATCCCCTCCCTTCAGTTATTCTATATGAGGTCGGTGTTAACTGACGGTATCATTCCCTCTCTCCAGTTCTTCTGTATGAGGTCGGTGTTAACTAACGCTATTATGCTCTCTATCCAGTTCTTCTGTCACAGGTCTCTGTTAACTAGCGGTATTATTCCGTCTCTCTAGTTCTTATGTATGAGGTCGGTGTTAACTGACGTTATTATCCCCTCTCTCCAGTTCTTCTGTCACAGGTCTCTGTTAACTAGCGGTATTATCCCCTCTCTCCAGTTCTTCTGTATGAGGTCAGTGTTAACTGACGTTATTATCCCCTCTCTCCAGGTCTTCTGTATGAGGTCGGTGTTAACTGACTGTATTATCCCCCCTCTCCAGTTTTTCTTTACGGGGTCGGTGTTAACTGACGTTATTATCCCTCTCTCTCCAGGTCTTCTGTATGAGGTCGGTGTTAACTGACTGTATTATCCCCCCTCTCCAGTTTTTTCTGTACGAGGTCGGTGTTAACTGACGTTATTATCCCTCTCTCTCCATGTCTTCTGAACGAGGTAGGTGTTAACTGACTGTATTATCCCCCCTCTCCAGTTTTTCTGTACGAGGTCGGGGTTAACTGACGTTATTATCCCTCTCTCTCCATGTCTTCTGTACGAGGTAGGTATTAACTGACTGTATTATCCCTTCTCTCCAGTTCTTCTATCACAGGTCGGTAACTTAATCCCGTCACTCACTCACTCACTCACTCAATGAATCACTGGATTATTTACAGACCGCCGTCATATAGCTGGAATATTGCCGAGTGCGGCGTTAAACAACAAACATACAAACTGAACACTGGCACCACTCAAGGTGAACATATAAAGTAATATTGTTTATTATTGTTTATATTGAAGTTTTTTTGTTTGTTCAACATTCAACACACGGCAACACAGCGGGTACGTCAAGTCTGACTCCCAAGAACAAACGGCCACAAGTCATTGTAAGCTGTAACACTGCCAATGGTAGTTTGATGAGTAAAGAAATAACTTTGTTTACCTGCACACAGCTGTTGGATGTGAAGGACAAGTGGCCTGGGAGCAGGGGTCCATACACTTGACCTGCTCGACTCCAGGTGGACAGGGGCCTGGAACCCCTCCCTCAATACGTCTACCTTCACCTACAGGAAAAAAAGGGTCAGTGTTGAGTACAGGCAATTACGTAATCCTGGAAGGGACATTGTCGCGCATTCTAGGCTATTCTTACGCATCTTTGATGGGGCGACAATGCGACAACGCGACATAATTAAACCTTGAAATTGTCCCTATGTTGCATTGTCGCCCTTTGGAGGAATGGAATAATATTATTAAAAACGCGACATTCGACATCGCGACAATGCGACAAATGACCGAAATGTCGTGTTGTCGCATTGTCGCTCTTTGGCTAATTTTACCTCATTTTCCTGGGTTTTGAGAGGGCGACAACGCGACAATGTCCCTTCCAGGATTTCATAGGCACTTGAGCTGAGCAGTTGTCTTTTAGTTTGGTATCCTATTTGGTGAGCGACTGAGTGAGTTTAGTTTTACGCCGCACTCAGCAATATTCCACCTATATGGCGGCGGTCTGTAACTAATCGAGTCGGGACCAGACAATCCAGTGATCAACAGCATGAGCATCGATCTACGCAAATGGGACACGGTGACATGTGTCAACCAAGTCAGCGAGCCTGACCACCAGATCCCGTTAGTCGCCTCTTACGACAAGCATGGGTTACTGAAGATCAATTCTCACCCGGATCTTCACGGGTCTCCTATTGGTACATCAGTCTATTTCGAAGTGTGTCCAGTGTGTCCAGTGGGCCCCGTACCCAAGATAGAATATGTGAATTCAAAGTAGACTTGGTAATATACTCAATCAAAGAAAAAACTTTGCTTGTTAATTTGAATCCCACGATGTTTGTGCATTATTTTAAAATAATTGTTTACCATACTCCTATCATCCAGGTAACAAAACAATAGATGACAATTGTCGAGATGACGTCGCCTGACATGTATGTCAAGACTGTGTACTGTCTGACAACGACAGACGAAGGTTCGCGCAACTATTACAACGGGTTTTACAGCAATGAACATCATCATCCACGATATCGGTATGGAAGAGCATGTCATCACACGGTCAGGTGTTTTATGAAATACCTCAGAATTATACCAACTGGCAGATCTTTGTACCCGTGAGCTTCTTATAACCTTTTTCTGGTCTAGCTATTGTTCCCTTGCCTTGACCTATAGCATTTCAGGGCCGGTGAGGTAGCCTAGTTGTTAAAGCGTTTGCTCGTCAAGCCGAAGACCGGGTTCGAATCCCCACATGGGTACAATGTGTGTATCACATTTCTAATGTCCACCGCCGTGATATTGCTGGAATATTGCTAAATTTCGCGTAAAACCAAACTCACTCACTCACTATAGCATTTCAAACAAAACATATTACTATGAGTGATAATATCGATATTTACTCACCATGCAGTACGAGAAAACAGAGGATAACAAGAGCCTTCATTGTGTTTGCGTCTTGCAGAGAATGCGTGATGAAGATGTCTGAAGCGGATGTGTCAGTCGTCCGAAGTACGGCAGCTGTTGAAGAACAGTAGCCTATCATACAATAGCAACTTGTCACTACACAGTTGGTTGGTTTGTTGTTTAACGCCGCACTCAGCAGTAGTTCAGCTATATGGCGGCGGTCTGAAAACAATCTGGACAAAACAATCCAGTAATCAACAGCACAGCATCGATCTGCGCAATTGTGATACGATGACATGTGTCAACCAAGTCAGCGAACCTGAGCCCCCGATCCCGTTAGTCGCCTCTTACTACAAGCATGGGTTACTGAAGATCAATTCTAACCCGGATCTTCACGGGTTACATAAAAAATGTACGTGAAAGTGTAACGCAAATGTTGAAAGTTTAACCTGTTATAACATTCTCCCCAGAAGAAGGTATTGACAGGTATATGATACCATCTATGTCAGGGAATGTGGGATTTCAGGTGGGAATGTGGGACGGTGGGGTTGCCATATGGTTAAAGCGTTTGCTCGGCACGCTGAAGACCCGGGTTTGATTCCCACGTGCAGGTTGTCAATGTGTCCCTTTCTGGTGTCCTGCGTGATATTGCTAACATATTTCTGAAAGTATCATAAAACCATACTAACTCACTCATACAGATGGAAAAGCGCTTAAGGTGCGATGTCTAAATTTTGCAGTTACAGACACTTGACATTCTTTCAACTACATGTATATGTCATTTGTGACAGCTTGTTTGAAATCGGCACACCTGCATACATTATTCAATGTGGCTTCACTGTAAACAAGACTCCCGTGACGAAGAATGTGAACAGCTTGTGTGTGTTGTTTGTTAAATTTATTTTTATTTTAATAAATTAGATGATTTTTAAAATTATAAGGGTATTCGTTGAATCCAAAGCTTTGTCACAAATACACCAATTTTATGCGATCAAAACAAAAGTACAAACTATATACATACACACTTAAAAAAAAGAAACGCATATGTGATTTTGAGAATATTGGAATCAGGCCAAACCAATAAGAATTCCGCAAGAGCGACTTCATCGACTTATCCAGTCTGTATTGGAGCGTGGCCGAGCAGTAATTACTGTCAATGGTGGCCATACAAAGTGCTGACTTTGACGTCGTCTTGTGGACTCAAGTAAGCAGAAACACAACAATAAAGGCTGCTGTTGTGTTGGCCAACTTGACGTGTGAATTTTCGCCATTGAAATTTTTACCATTGAAATTACGTGAAATAATTCCTCTTAAACTAACGCAATAAATACTTCTACAATTGGTTTATGCGTTTGTTTTTTTGAAGAGTGTATGCTTATTAGATATGAAACAGTTCAAGGGGTTTCGTACATCAGGACGTACAGATGATGGCATGTGTACAATGTTCCTAATGGCTGGAGGCGGTGGGGTAGCCTAGTGGTTAAAACGTTCGCTCGTCACGAAGACCCAGGTACGATTCCCCACATGGGTACAATGTGTGAAGCCCATTTTTGGTGTCCCCCGCCTTGATATTGCTGGAATATTGCCAAAAGTGGTGTAAAAACTCACTCACTCACCGAATGACTGGTTATTAAGATAGAGTGAGTGAGTGAGTTAAGATTTATAGTTACATCGGCAATATTTCAGCCATAATCTGACTTAAAAAGTTATAAATTAACAACAAACGCAATTAAAGGACAGTAAAAAAAACTAGATTATCACAGTTAGAGAATTAACAATAGCAACTTTTCGTGCTCCCATAGTCACAGTCGGGGGCTCGAGGGGCGGTGGGGTAGTCTAGTGGTTAAAGCGTTGGCTCGTCACGCCGAAGACCCGGGTTCGAATCCCCACATGGGTACAATGAGTGAAGCCCACTTCTGGTGTCCCCGCCGTGATGTTGCTGGAATTTTGCTCAAAGCGGCGTAAAACCAAACTTAGTCAGTCAGTCGGGAGCTCGAACCCAAACTTGTCTCTAGATATCTTTAGTCTGGCACGTTTCTCCAAACGGGTTGAGGTGCATGCCAACTCGTCACGTGTCTTCATAGTAACTTCACATTTCGTTTTTCCACATTCCACAGTAAATTTGACGATCGAGTTTTGTGTGTGTTAATCGTCTTCGTCATCTCTTCATATAGACCGATTTATGTTTGTGGTTTAATGACTCCCGATACATATATGATAGTTCGAGATGTACCATACATCAATCAATCGTTTATTCCGCATGTGTGGCCTCCGGCCCATATACAGATGATACAGCAGGTTGGCATTTGCATGTTACAGACTTAGTATCTCAGATGTAGTGCACACTGAAAATAAAGTTGTAGCTTAATAATAGTTTGTATCATCAGATACCATTAGGTTGATGAAACCAGTTTTTATATTATAGGATGTACAGACAAACAGTAGGTATTTAGATCTTCAGCTTTCATACGCTGGACATATCATAACAAAATGAAATTCATCCACAATCATGGCTAACTTACTCACTTTACACAGTCGCAGTGTTCTCAATACGTTTTAATATCGCCCAAGTCCAACTTGTAATCTGGCCATGCTAATACGCAGTTTCGTCAAGTTGCGACGCTATAAGGAACAGTCGCCATGAGTTAAATACAATTCCGGTTGTAAATTTAATTTGAATGAAGAATAAGTGTCATATCTGCTGCTACAATGCAAGCTAGATTTCCATTCCTGAGTTAAGATATCAGTAGCACGTTGCTTAAATTCTGACAAAAATTTGTCTACACTGCCAACACTCTGGAACAGCGAGACGTAACCAAATCCGTAGCTAAATAAAACTTGCTTAACCGATGAAGCCCACGTATGGCGATTAACGTTATCCAATGAGTACAGCATTTCATATGCTTTACGTGGATACCTGTGACTTGTTTGAGTGGCATTTTTAGAAGTTGAGACGTACAATATGGAACACGTATTTATCGATAACAACTTCTTTATTTCGTGAGTGCGACGTTTCGATATAGATTTTTGTACCGTTGTCAAGCAAGAGTGATACATAAAGTGGAGGATGGAGAAGGTTGTTGAGACTGGAGGACGCTGAGAAGGTTGTGTCTATGCCTGCCTGTTGTTTCAGGAGTCGGTTGACAACAACCCACCGTCAACAACAACAACCCGAAATGTGTTATTTATATAATAAACTGTGATTGTGGACAAAGCTACACAGGTGAAACATCCCGACCCATTAACACCCGAGTCAAAGAACATCGCACCTCTGTTGCTAATTCCGACACCAAATCAGCTTTCTCTGACCACATCAAAGCAAACCCCAATCATCAAATAGAGTGGTCCGACGTCACCATTCTCGCCAACAACCAAGCGGACTTCACTAAACGCAAGCTCACCGAAGCCATTCACATCAAACGCCATAAGCCCACCATCAACCGTGACCAAGGATACTTCATTCCATCAGCTTATGATCCACTCCTCCACCAAGCCCAATCTATTGTATAAACATCGCACCTATTGTATAAACATCTCCTTCATTGTAACTACTCCTGTATTTATACACCTCTGGCTTCCATTGACTATCCTTTGTGTACTCACTGGCTTCATCAGCTTACTGCTTAACCAATTATGGCAATTATGTTGTTTCCTTTGTCAATTACAATGTATGTTGTTTCATTGTTATATACAGTATATATATGCAGCTCCTCCACTTCATGTATCACTCTTGCTTGGCAACGGTACAAAAATCTGTATCGAAACGTCGCACTCACGAAATAAAGAAGTTGTTATCCATAAAAACGTGTTCCATATTGGATACCTGTGGCTAGGCATGCGAGTAACTCTAAGCCAAAATTTAACATATCTCGACAAAGAAGACAAATAAACTGGGAATCTGTCACATTCGCCCATAGCTAAAACATTCGAAGCTCTTGTACTAATGCTAACAAACCGTCAATCGCTAGATGTTGTATTGTCTCTAAACACTTTAGACGCTGAAAGCCACACAACACGGAAGTTGTGCCATACAGAAAGCCGTTTCCTTCAACATCCTTGACCATACCAGTTGTTCACATCCTTGACCATACCAGTTGTTCACATCCTTGACTATACCAGTTGTTCACATCCTTGACCAAACCAGTTGTTCACATCCTTGACCATACCAGTTGTTCACATCCTTGACCATACCAGTTGTTCACATCCTTGACCATACCAGTTGTTCATATCCTTGACCAAACCAGTTCTTCATATCCTTGACCATACCAGTTGTTCACATCCTTGACCATACCAGTTGTTCACATTTCTGACCATACCAGTTGTTCACATCCTAGACCATACCAGTTGTTCACATCCTAGACTACACCAGTTGTTCACATCCTTGACCATACCAGTTGTTCACATCATTGACCATACAAGTTGTTCACATTCGTGACCATACCAGTTGTCCACATCCTTGACCATACCAGTTGTTCACATCCTAGACCATACCAGTTGTCCACATCCTTGACCATACAAGTTGTTCACATTCGTAACCATACCAGTTGTTCACATCCTTGACCATACCAGTTGTTCATATCCTTGACCATACTAGTTGTCCACATCCTTGACCATACCAATTGTTCACATTCGGGACAAGCCGAATATCGTCGTCTGGGAGGTACTTTATAGGTTAAACATATTTTTATTTCGAAATACAAGAAATGGTGATCGGTGAACAAGCCTCTCCCGTACAACACAGTAGAAAATATGATTGTGGTGACACCATGAAATAGTCATTTGAGTGTTGGTGGCAAGCGTAATCAATATAAACTCTGTCAAAAAAGAAACGCAACCCCTGTATTTTAGAGATTTTGATCTGAAGTTTTAGGACGACACGGCATTTTTATTATTTAAGACAGAAGTCTGAAATTTGGCAGAATAATAACCCAGATGGGCATGTTTAAAATTGTCATTTCAAAAGTCATCTCACAGACACCAGTTTGTCACCAGGGGGGCGTCTTTCTCAGTATCTCGTATGAGCACCACGCGCTGCAATCACTGCACGGCATCTCCTTGGACAAGAACGGATAAGACGCCGGATTCTTTCCTGGGGAATGGCTCTCCACTCCTCCTGCAGTGCAACGGCGAGCTGTTG